TGGCCAGGGTCTGTGTTGCCTCCCTTGAATCTAGGTAAGCTCTATGGCGGCTTTGATCAGTTGACCGGGATGGCAATGATGTTGTGTCACTTTCCAGACTTGCCTTAAGAGAGTGGCAGCTTCCAAGACCTGTCTATGGAGCCTGAGCTGCCATGTAAAATGTTCAACTACCCTGACAGAGAGACCATGTGGAGAGGCTTTGAGACAACAGGGGGAGATGGGCGGCTGAACCCAGTCTTCCCTGCCATTCCCATCAAGGCCCATGAGAAGGCTGTGCCAGGCACCTGAGAAGGCTGTGTTGGACCCTGCAGCCTAGCTTAGCTGTCAGTTAGAATTCTACCAACTGACCCTGGTTGATTGTATATGGAAGAGAGAAATCACCCAGCTGAGTCCTGGCCAAATCACTGAAAAGTTGGGAGATATACTACAATGGTTGTTTTAAGCCACCGAATTTGGGGGTAGTTTGTTACATAGCAACACATAACCAAAATAAGTCCTCAGGTGAGATCTTAGTGAATACAAAGTTGGCTGTGTAAGGATGCAGAAAATGTCCCATTTATATGGGGTTGGACAAAAAGTTCATTTGGTTTTTTCCATAAGATGGCTCTACTAGTAGCACTTAGTTGTCTTCAACTTAATTCAAAACAATTTTGTTAGATTGTATTATGACAGCTGTCATATCAGCATATGTTTTAAAAAACTTATATTAAAATTGGTGAATTTTCCTGGCTGGCGTAGCTCAGTGGATTGAGTGCGAGCTGCGAACCAAAGCATCACAGGTTCAATTCCCAGTCAGGGCACATGCCTGGGTTGCAGGCCAAGGGCCCCAGCAACTACACATTGATGTTTCTCTCTCTCTTTCTCCCTCCCTTCCCTCTCTAAAAATAAATAAATAAAATCTTTTAAAAAAATCTTTAAAAAATTGGTGAATTTTTGTGTACCCATTTTAATATTGAAGATGGAAGGAAATGGGCCACATTTTCAGCATATTATGTTTTATTCTTTCAAGAAAGGTAAAAATGCAACTGAAATGCAAAAAAAGATTGGTATAGTGTATGGAGAAGGTGCTGTGACTAATTAAAAAGTTAATTAATTATCCAGAAGCAAACAGTTGGAGCCAGGAAATAGGAAGGAGCTGACAGAGGTGCTTTCACTCGTTCAGGTCCTTGTTACACATCGCGGCGACTGCCCTGCATTTACTGGGATGTTATCACCCAGTTTGAGTCAACACAACTCCTACTTGTCAGACTAGGGGCTTTAAAGACGCCTGCAAAAGAGTCTAATGAACAAAAACGTGGCTGTATGAAAAAACAAGAGTATAAGTAAATCTTTAAGAAAAAAATGCTTCCCAGATTTGAAATTGAGATTACATGAGATAGAATTTATATTCATTCTTGTTAATAATGACCCTTGACCTGTGTGTATGCTGTGCCTGATGACAGGATAAAGGCTGCAGAGCATTAGGTCTAGTTTGAATATTTTTGAGAAACTGTTTTCCACAGCGGTAGAAACATTTTACAATCCTACCAACTATAGATTGCTTCTAGAGTTTCAGCAGTCATGCATAATAAGACCGCGTTAGGTAAAATAGAGAACAACAACAGGAATAAAGCCCAGACCAATGTACTTCAGAAATGTCAATTAGGAGAGTTTAAAAGGATAACTGTTACAAAACATTGATCATACTTTCATTAGTATTATTTTTTAAATGGAAACATACAGTCCTGACTGGTGTGGCTCAGTTGGTTGGGCGTCATTGCAAAAAGCAAAAGGTTGCCGGATCAATTCCCTGTCACAGCACACGCCTGGGTCGCAGGTTTGGACCTGGTCAGAGTGTGAGGGGCAACCCATGTCTCTCTCCCTCTCTTTCTCCCTCCCTTCCCCTCTCTCTAAAAATAAATAAATACAATCTTTTGAAAAAATGGAAACATATAATTCACAGACTTTATTTTTATTTTTAGATACTTTCAGTGTAACTAGACTCTTTTTTGATCTATATTTTGGCTTTTAGAAATATCTTGCTATAATTTTTAGAGTATTTTAATAGCCTTTTCTTTATGTAAAATTTTGAATGAAGTATTTCAGATCTACACAAATAATCTAAGTACGAGTACCTATAACCTTGCTTGAATAAAACCATATTTTTGTCATATTTTTTTATATCTGTCACTAGTAGTGTAGAAAAACAACAACAAACATCTCTACTCCTCCTGACCATGACAGTAATCACAAATGTGTGACATCAGAGAAAAAAATTAGGAAGTAAATGAATTCATATTTGGCAACCTATTGCCCTCCCTGTAATTTGAGAGGAACATAGCCCAAGAGTTAAAATCATGGGCTCTGAAGTCATACAGACTTGATCAAGTCCTAGGTTTGCTTCTTGCTAGTTTTGTGGCCTCAAGCAAGTTCTTAATCTATCCCTGCCTCAGTTTCCTGCACTGTAAAATGGAGATAATATTTCCCAAGGTGTTTAGAAGAGTTAAAAGAAAAACGAGCTCTTATGTATTTACTACATACAGCCAGTGACACATAGCAAAACTTCAATAAATATTAGTAATTATTTACTTTGTTTATTGAGCATTTACTATATGGCAGCCATTCTAGTGCTGGCTGAGAATTCAGCAATGATCAAGCAATGTTCATTGCTGAATTCCATGGGACAAAGACCCCCATGGAGCTTACTTTCTAGTGACAAATAAGCAAAGCAGTCAGATAGTGGTGGGGACTGTGAAGAAAAAATAAGGTATGGGAAGGGGGTGCAGGAGGTCCTTTAGGTAGGAGACAGGATAGTGAGAGGCCTGTATGAAGCCTTCAGAGGTGAAATTTAACTGAGAATAGCAGAAGGAACCAGTTATTTAGAAGTTTGGGAAGTGTTTGAGAGAGAGTGTGAACAGTTTGTGTTTAGGTCCTGAAGCAAGAAACCTTGGTTTGTACAGGAAGAAAGAGAATGGCTAGAGCTCAGTACCTGAGAGGAAAGAAAGTTGGGCATAACATCAGAGTTAGAAAGGGCAGGTCAATAAAGGATTTGTGGAGCATAGCAGGAAGCTTGAAGCTTGAGCACAGCAGGGGCTGTGAGGACACTGGAGAGTTTTTTATCACTAGTAGATATAGTACTCTGCTCTGGAGAGAATTTGTGTGCCTTCCTGTAGCTCCGTTTTAGAATTAACAGTATGTGTATTCTGTAGGAGTAACTTCTGGGGATACCACATTGGTTACACATGGGCACCCCCTGGTGGAGCTGGTGGCTCAGCTCGTGTGGTTTCAGATCACCAATAACAAAGTTCATGAGCAATTTATCCTTTCATTTAACAAATATTTATTGGATGCCTACGATGTGTCAGGCTTTGTTCTAGTGCTGAGATATATCCACGAACAAAACAAACATATGTGCTCTCATGGAGCTTACATCCTAGTATGTGTGGGTGTGGGGAGAGAGACATTAAACAAGTGGAGTATTTGTTATAACATAACAATTAAGTGGGGGACTGCATTAAGATGTGCAGGGAGAATGGTGCTCCAATTTTAAACATAGTCAGGGAAAAATATATAGCAGGGGTGTCAAACTCATTTTCACCGGGGGCCACATCAGCCTTGCAGTTGCCTTCAAAGGGCCAAATGTAATTTCAACTCCTTAGCAGTTAAGGAGTAGTTACATTTATACAGTCCTAAAATTATTTCAGCCCTTTGAAAGCAACCGCAAGGCTGCTGTGGCCCTCGGTGAAAATGAGTTTGACACCCCTGAAATATAATGTCAGGGAAGGTCTCATTAAGAGGGTGACATTTGAACAAAGAGGTAAAGGAGGTGACAGGGTGAATGGGAGAACAACATTCTATTGCTATTTCCCCATTGTAGTATTGCAATTGATAGAAATTGACAGTGTTGCTATTATCTGGGGGAACAGCATTCTAGGCAGAAGGATCAGCAAACACAAAGGCCCTGAGTCTATGTTCAGGTTTGAGGAAAAGCAAACAGACCAATGTTCCTTGGGTAGAGGGATAATGGAGAGAGTAGGAGATGAAGCTAGTTGTGCCGGGAAGGGGGGTGGTGTCAAATCTTGAGGGTCCTTGAGGGTAGGCCAATGTAAGAATTTTAGTTTTCACTTTGAAATAGGGACCCAGGGCAGGAGCAACATGATCTGATCAAGGTTTTAACCGAAGCCCGCTGATGTGTTAATTTATTGTGGGAGAGCAAGGGTAGGAAAGGGCAAACAGCTAACACATTTACTGAGGCTGTAAACGTTCTGACTCTGGACAGATTTTGAATGCAGATCCTGTGGACTTGCTGATGAATGTGGGGCGAGAGTGAGAAGTCAAAGATCTTAGTATATAAATGATTATCACTTAGTCAGTTGTCATAGGAAGAGGTGATCCAAGACTACAGCCAAAAAATTTACACAAAACACGTATTTTAGAAGCATATCAAGCAGTTAGTACTGTGTAATTTTTCTGGATCTTGTGTTAATGGAAGTTTAAAAAAATTTTGAATTTTGAATTTTCTTAAAGAGGGCCCCCAAATTGAATAAATTTCAGGCCTCCACAAACCCTGACTTCAACCCATATTGGGGTAGTTCAAGTTAATAAAGAATTTAAAATTTTTATGACAAAACAATTACATAAAATAATGTGCATGAAACAAGTTAATTGTAAGCTAAATACAATATTAGTTATAAACTAATATTAGGGATAAAAACATCACCTTGGACTAGCCTTCCCCCACACGTGTCTTCCAAAACTTCCCACCTATTCGTCCACGGCTTTTAAGGATCCTACAAAGGCATTTCTCCTTGCGTTCGCTATAGAGAAGCATGGATTGAAAAGACCGGTAGAAAAATGAGAGCTGACGCCGGAGAGGCGTAACCAGGGGCGGGGCTCGCCGGAGTAGAAAAATGAGGAGGGCCCCGCCCCGTTTGTCCTGACACATGCGCCCAGGGGCTTCTGGTGGAACGAAGTGTGGATTGTGAGGTGACCCTGGACCGTGACTTCCGGTTCCTAGGGATGCGCATCCGGGTCGCGCTAACGCCGCGGTTTCCTCCACCCGCTTGGTTCTTCTGTGGGTCTGGACCGGTCCCCATGTCCGGCTGTGGGGCCCCTGCAGCCTTCGGGTGAGTTCTCTGCTGCCGACAGGGTCTGAGCGAGGCCAGGGGAGTACAGTCGGTAGGGAGACGGGTCAGGAATTCTGTCCTGATCGCTGTGGGTGTGGGTTCTCTTGGCTCTGCTTCCCTCACTTCAGCCCTTTGCCTCACGCTGGCCTCGCCTAGTTCACTTAAACTTAGCCTTTCTCGCTTCTCGCACCTTTCGCCTCGCTGCTTTTGCTCAGCCTCGCCCGCTTCATACAAGCCCCGGCTTCTTTTCTGCCTCAGCGCTTCCGTCCGCCACTGCCTCTCGATTTCCCCCTTCCTCTCACTTTAGCCCCTCTCCTCCCCGACTGCTGCTCCCGGGATCTCGCTGTTCTTTTACCCAGCTGGACGGCCCGTGGCCTCTTTGGGGTCATCCTCCACTGTGAAATAGGGTCCCTGGGACTTGCCCTCCAACTTTCCTCACTTTTTGACCCCTCCCGCGACTAGTAGGTGACATCTGTGCTTCGCCTGGGGTTCTCCCGCCTTTTCTTAGCTAGCAGAGGGCTGTGCCAAATCCTGGATCGGGGCAGATTTATCCGGCCTAGGGGAGGTTTTGCCTGGAGGCTCTGGGTTGGACTGAGCTCCGGTAGCTTCCGTAGCTAGGGAACAGCAAAGGCGTTCCCAGTGCCTTGCTGGAACACAGTTTTGGGGGCTCTCCCTAGAATGGGATAGCAGGTGGCAGGCATGCGGAACTACGAACGATTGGACTTCAGTGATCTTGGTGATTGACAGATCTTGAGAGAGTCCTATCGTTTTGGCGTTCTCGATTTCCCAAGAATGGAGAAGTGCACGCCTAAGGCAAAAATGCGAGGTTCTGGGATGATCAGTCTTTTTCTGCATATGCTTTACTTACGGACAGTTGCTGTGTCAGAGGACAGAGTTTCTTGAGAGATTATTAACCCCCAGGTTTTTAAGCTTATTGCCAAAAGTCTTAGTGTGCAAAAACCGGAAACGTTTTCTGCTGAAGAGTTCACTATAGTCATTTCAAAGTACATTTTCTTTAGTTGAACTCAGTGGGCACATGTATCTTTATCCTTGCCTCTTATACGTTGTTTCTTCATTTTTACTGTATTGACAACTTTCTGTTTTTCTTCTGGTTTCTTCATAAGCCAGACATTACAGTACTTTATTTCATACAGTATTCTTTTATTTTTCTTAACCTTTTCCGCCTTAGTCTTAAAACCATATTTTTCTCATTTTGAGACTTAAATTTCTTAAATTTCTCTGAAATGAAGGGATTGGTGTTAATAATGGTTAGTGTCTTGTTTCCCAAATTTTGTGATCTGAGGCATATTTTGAGATACAGGGTTGGTTAATTTTTATTTTTGTTTTTCCTATCTTTATGGTGTGTCTAGCATTTGACTGCGAATGTTTTTGTGTGATCAGTTTCTATAATTATATAAATTGTGTTCTAAAATTTAGTACTTCGGTGAACAGAATAAATACAGCTTTTAGCACGTGCTTCTCTTTAATGAGTTATATCATTACATGATACGTATGTGAACATAGCATAGACCATGGCCTATTCCAAAATTGGGCTGGTTCCTTCATCTATTTTTAGCAAAGGACTTTGGAGCTTAGCCATATTAGTCCCCCTGTAGCCATAGAAGCCACAGGAAAGGACCCTTGTTGTTGGCTTTCAGGACCTAACTGCTGAAGGAAGCCCCTTTGAAAGCTCCAGAGCAGTACTTCTCAGCATCAATACTGGCATCTCTAGCTTCTGTTCAGCGTGGCCTCAACGTTTCCCTTCCTTAAAAACTAACCCCAATGAATATGGACTGTCTCTGTCTAACTGCCTCTTTACCTCCAGGTTTGTGGATTTTCCCCTTCTTTTTCTTTTAGCATGGGCACTCCATAGATAGATCTGTATTTGGTTTGATGCAAAGCCCTCTTCCAACCTTTTTCTTTTTTTAAGAAAGATTTTATGTATTTATTTATTTAGGGAGGGGGAAAGGAGGGAAGAAGAGAGGGCAAGAAACATCCATGTGTGAGAGAAACATCCATCGATTACCTCTCCTGTGCCCCTTGGCCTGCAACCCAGGCACGTGCCCTGACCGGGAATTGAACTGGTGACCTTTCAGTTTGGAGGATGATGCCCAAGCCACTGAGCCACACCAGTCAGGGCTCAGCCTTTTTCATTTCTGAACTTTTTATTTCTTGAGCATTTCTTCGTCTGAACCTAGATAGATTTCTAGAGTTTACAGCTGGAGGAAACTATAGAGTTCAGACTTACTCCTTCATTTTACAAATAAGGAAACCAGGGCTTCAAGGATTGGTGATGATTTATCCAAAGTCATATATATATCTCTCTCTATATATAATCACAAATAAAGAAGTCCTATACATGCACACAGGAAGTGGGTTTTAGTTTTATCAAAGCTGTAGGCTTGTGAACACAATATAGTATTTAGTGGTTTATTTCTATATGTTAACGTTATCAGAATGAAAGTTTTAGGGTAATACATCTATGACAGATTTTTAAATTAAAAGGACTTTAGAAAGAAACTTATGCAGAAGTTGGAAATTTTAGGGAGTCTCTTCCTCTTTTAAAATCACTTCTGCCTATTATGGTATAAATTTTACATGAAAGCCCCTACATAAAACAAACATCCTGTAGTCTCATTGGAACAGTTGTGTTCATGCTCCTGGTCCTCATACAGAACACTGTTACTTTCTAATTACCAGAAAGCCTGCACCTCTTACCTAGCTGCCAAACGAAAACCAAAAATATTACTAGAGACAGTTTAGTATGTACAGTAAGTTCTCACTTGTCATTGGTAGGTTCTGTAACTTTTAAGTGAAACAACATGTAATGAAACCAGTTTTACCATAGATTAGTTAATATAAACAAGAGTTAAGTTCCTGTGCGTCTCATCAACGTTAGAACAAAACAATGTTATTTGAGGACAAGCTGTATGTGTTTTTAAAGCTCAGGAGAGGACTTACTGTCAGCTTTCTATAGAAATTTCTACTTTAGCTAGGCAAAATCTTTGTTTATAATCCTGAGAGTTTAAAATGTATTTTTGCATATTTTATGCCTACCAGTTCTTTTTTGTTTTGATTTGGTTTATTTCTTGTTGTTACTTTTTGCCATTTTACTTGTTATTTTGTTTTACATGTTTTGATTTTTATCCTTGAGATTAGGATATGTTTTAAGGATAACACAGTTTTTAAAATTTAAGAAACAAATTACATCTCCTCCATGTGTTTACCATTGTTACCTTGTGGTATGAGTTTCTGTCATCTGCCAAAACCACTTCATGGCTCCATACAGTTTGTTTTGCTTACAGATAAAGGCTCATGGAACTTCTTTTTCAGTAGATTGTCTAAAAGATTTTTTTGTTCTGCATATGAAAACAGGATATTTTGATTTATGTGTGATTTAAATGGAGGAAGAATTTTTAAAATTAGTTCAACCTAGAAATATTTTGAAATATATTTAAGAATATTAGGAATAGTTTATTCTTCCCATATATTCCCTTAATTGGTTTATACCAAGAGATCAAGTTGTTATATTTATAGTAAAATGGCAATAAGGCGAGCTTTCTATCTGCTGATTAACTTAAAAGTACAATGCACGTTCTTGTACAGAATATGTGGCTTAAGCCATAAACTGACTTATTGATAATTTTATTGGCAGAGAACGTAGCATACAATGGAACAGCAGCCACATCATGCTGTTGATATTTTTATTTGGGCCATAAACCTAAGTCCTGGAATATCTAATTATTAAATGTAGAAATAGGGTATTTTCTCTGTTACTTACATTAAAAACCAGATATTTGAATTATGGGCTTCATAAAATTTGTCTTTATTGTGTTCGCCTTTTAAATATATAGTAGTATTTTAAATCAGAAAAGAAAAAGTATAAATAGTGCTGACTTATTGTAAGTCAACAGATCAACACAAGGCAGTCAGTATTTAATATCTTAAGGTGTTACTACAGATTGTGATGGATGCACTTTAACCTGTTAGCTTGGTTGATACTCGTACTAGTCAGGTTTCTTTTTATTCACCCTAGAAAATAGCAGTAATTTTTGTAATACATTTCTTTCAGCATATTTCCTTTAGGTATCTACTATGTGGAATTAAAATACATAAATAGGCTATTCACATGAAGTAGGTGACATTGGTGTAAATTAGTAAATTAGTGTAAATGGTTTAATTCAGATATGTACAAATGGAAACCAAATTCAGTATTTAAGTGTAAATGTTAGTCCTACATCTTTAGGGTGTAGCAAAAAAAAAGAGATAACATAATTAGAATTCAAAAAGGTTTAACTCTAAGAAAGTGTTGCTTCTTATGAGTGACAATGACACATGATTTTTTAAGCTAGATTTTATGATTTTCTATTGTTTTCAAAACACAGTAATTTCTCATGATTATTTGAGTTTAAGGTTCTTGTGTTACTTTGCATCACAGCTTAATTAATATAAAATGTTCTTTATAGGTACCATTAAATAATTTTCATTTAGGAAACTTTTTTCACAACTGAACTGTAAAAATCTGTAATGGTAAACAGTAAAAATAAAAGCCAACTTTACATAGCACTTAGTATGTGCCAGAAACTGTTCTAAGTGGTTTACATATATTAACTCTTTAATCCTTATGACCCTAAAAAAATACTGCTCTTATCTGCATTTTGCAAGTGAGAAAATGAGGGGACAGAAGGACAGAAGTCATATAACTTTCCCAAAGTAACAAAGCTAGTTATCAGGAAAGCTGGATTTTGAACTTAGTCTTTCTGTCTCCAGAGTTCATGACCTTTTTGTACCAGGTTCTACTAATTTAGTGATTCCTCCTTTTTAGGTTAAGGGAGAAATCCAATTTCTCTGAAATACAAAAGAATACTGCTTCTGGTGGGGAATCTTGGGGTGGGTGGGGTTACCTGGTCTTTTTATTAACAGTGGCTTAGGGCAAATTACAAACCCTTTATTACTTATATTTCTTTTTATTTATTTATTTATTTTTAGACAGAGGGGAA